CAATGTGTTGTGACGGGTAGACGAACCGGGTATCCCTCGCTAATCATCCACCCTCCTTATCCCGTTGTGCCAATTGTGACGCTTCTTAACATGGTTTCTAAAAATACGACTTCTAAAATACGACTTCTAAAAATTACGACTTCTAAAATACGACTTCTAAAAATTATGCAATACACTTTTATATTAATGGTATGGTACTGTACAATCAGAATTGATTGGCAGCTGCAGTTACTTCTGTTTAATGCGGTATTGCTTGCCATTGGTTAAAGGCTTAAGGGATTAAAGCAAAATTCTGCCGCGTTAGCCTGGCAAGTGCAGGTCTGAGAAGGTCCAGCAGGTCCATAATGAGTTGTCTTGGGAGGCAACAAAGCCACGTCAGGCAAAATGTTCAAAAGGGCTTAAGTTTTGCCGGATAAAAAAAATTGACATGGACTAAACGGCTCCGCAGCCGGCGCCAGCTTTGATTCAAGGACACGTCGGATCGCTGTCATAGTTGGTCGCTTACTGGACACCACCATGCTGCCAATCCATTAACAGATCTTTGCCAGATTTTAATTATCAAAAGTGATTGCCAATTTAAACGCTTTAATGACATTACGAAATAGAGCCAGACCGATATATCGGCCGGCCGATATTAGGCATTTTCCATAATATCGTTATCTGCAGTTATAATGGCCGATAAATGAATATTTAAAAAATAAAATAAAAATGGACGAAACACGCTTCAATCATCTCTCCTCGGCCTGTTATATTGAAAATGTATGTTTTACAATTTGCAGTATGACGTTATCTATTGCTAAATTATGGCTCATCATAGACTAGCTAACCACAAAGCTAGCTAATGCCAATATCATCAGTGGAAGACCGCTAACGTTAACATTAATAAAGCTTGGAAACCACAATGAACTTTTTCTGCCTAAATAAAGTAATGATTACTGTATTTATAGCTAGCATACCTCTAGTTACAGTCCCTGCATTGTAATATGTAATTTAGACTTGCGAGGAGTGAACATTTAGACATAAAAGTAAATAAAAAAGTATCAAACGTATCTTGTGCAGAAAAGTTAGCTTTTCTTTTACACGCGTGTGAAATCCAACAATATTTCATTTAAAAAAAATTATCGGCCGACATATCAGACTATCGGATTTTAAAACCCCAAAATATTTGTATCGGTATCGGCCTTCAAGGTCCTTTATCGGTCGGGCTCTATTACGAAATAGGCTAGGCTGATTACCACCATATTAGTTCTGATACCAAATAAAGTCAACTTCATAAATAGGCCTGTATCCATTGCAAAAATATTTTATTATTAGTCTTAAAATTTGTTATTATTAGTCTTAAAATGTCCAAAATATAAAATCATTGTTGAGCCACAACAATGTCAACATACCATAGATTCACTTGTACTGTGCTGCGCTGATTCGTAAAGACTGCTGCACAGTGGCAGCAACTAGCGTCTTGAGCTCAAACAACGCTGAGAGAGCTTACGAATAGTCCAGACCAACCTTACGAAAGTGTGATTACAGAAGATATACTTAGCTTACGAACGTGTCGGGAATCATGCCATTAAGTTAAGAGAGAGGTTAAGGAATAGGTTAAGAACTACTTAGCGATAAGAGCGTTTTGGGGAACCGGGCCCTGGAGGTTAGGGGTGGCACAACGATTAGGGGCCGCTTATTCCATAGCTTAGGGCCTATAACACTAAAAGCCTGAAGGCTGTCTCTCTTATAATTATCTTGCTCTATCGTCCTCCTAAGGTCCTGTCCAACCTTTTCTCTGAACTCAGTGAACTGTTGACCCTTGCCTGCTCTTAGTCATTTCCCATTCTACTGCTCGGTGACTTTAATATTCATGTTGATGCTGTTTGCTCTAACAATAATCGGTTACTTTCTATTTTGAAAGTTTTCATCTGATTCAGCATGATAATGTTCCTACTCATAAGTATGATTTGATATATACATCGAGGGTCAATATCTCTTCCATCTCTTCATCTGATACCGGTATCTCAGATCATAAACTTCTTGATTTTAGCTTAAGCTTGCCGATGCATAAGAAATGTTCAACAACTCGTCCCCTTGGAATTATAAGGTTCTGAGCAGTTTTGAGATATTGAGCTTCAAAGTTTTTGCATTCCATATAGGAAAATGTGTATGGGGAACATGTTTCTTTCAAACATAAAAATAACCGGGACCCTAAATGTACAAAACACATCACATAATGTAAATAAATTGCCACAGAATAAGAAAATGTGAATAACTCAATTTTGACAAAAATGTCAGATAGAACCTTATAATTCCAAGGGGACGAACTGTTATCCTACCGCAATCTCAAAGCTGTTGTTACTGCATCATTTTGCACCTCCATTGCCTCTTATAATCTCCTGCTATTATCTAGTTATATCTTTATAATTTCTGAAATCCTACAAAAACATGCTCCTGTTAAGACCAGAAGCGTCCCTTCCACTCATTCTTCTCCTTGGTACACACCTGGGCTTCGTATACTAAAGGCCACAGGTAGACGGCTTGAGCATCTCTACAATAAAACTGGCCTGACTGTTTACTATTTGGCTTTTATTGAACATGTCAAAAATTGCGAATCGGCCCTGAACTCGGCTCATTCTAGTTTTGTATCCGCTATAATTAATAAAGGCCAAAAGCATTATTTAACACAATAAATAAACTTACTAAACCTCCATCTCAGGTTGCTCTAGCTTCAGATGAACTTTGCTGTTCATTCATGAATCACTTGCTAGAAAAGACAGACACCGTCCACCAGTGCTTCTCTAATGATGCAACGGATATTAGATATTTGCCGAATCAATCTAGTCTTTGACTTTCTTTTCTCTGACTACTCCAGTTTCTGTCTCTGAGTTAATTTTGAAATCCAACCCTTCAACTTGACCCTGCTCCTACCACTCTTATGAAACTCTGCCATTCAGTTACTTCAGCACTTATCTCTCACTTCAAAAATGCATCTTTTACCTCTGCCACTCAAAACTGCTGCTGTTACCCCTGTTCTCAGTTTTATCTAATTATCGCCCTATTTCAAATCTACCCTTCATAGCAAAATTACTGGAAAGTACTGTTGCCTCCCAGCTTCAGTCTTTTCTAGTCGATAATAATTTATTTGATCCTTTTCAATCTGGTTTTCGCCCTCTTCATAGTACTGAATCTGCACCAGTCAAGGTACTGAATGATCTGCTTCTTTCTGGTGACTCTGGTTCTCTGTCTATACTTCTGCTGCTCGACCTCAGCTCTGCCTTTGATACCGTCTCCCATCAACTATTCATATCTCGCCTTTCAAATGTGGGTATTTCTGGTGCTGCTCTTTCTTGGTTTTCTTTCTATCTCTCTATCTGACAGACAATTCTAAATTTCAGTTCAAGATTTTTGTTTACCTACTGTCCCCCTGAAGCAAGGTGTCCCCCAGGGATCCGTTCTCAGGCCATTATTATTCATAATCTACATAATACCTCTTGGTCAGATCTTCCACCTTTATGGTTTTAATTATTATTTTTACGCAGATGACATCTAATTATATACTATCTGTACACCAGCTCTATCTGTCCAGCGCAGTCTCATCCCAAGACGTCATATAACTGAGGTCTTGGGACGTCTTTTGACCATACGTCAAGATCGGTTAGATGACGTTATCGGATCCTAACCCTACCCCAGACCTAAACCTACCCCGTCCCCATAACAGACGTTAAAGGTAAAGCGTCAGTTGTATGACGGCCCGGGATCGTCATGTAACCGACGTTTAAGAGTACCCTAAAAAGGCGGATGTTGATGTATGGTCAAAAGACGTCCCAAGACGTCAGTTATATGACTTCTTGGGATGAGACTGTGTTAATCTGTCACAACCGACAAAACCTCTGCTTGCGTGCATAAAATAAAAGATTGGCTTTATTCAAATTTTCTAAAACTTAACATGGAGAAAACTGGACCAGTAAAAAAATAATCACAGCAGTGACAACCAATTTGGATGTGCCAAGAAACTGCAGTCTGAACCATAGACTGTAAAAAAAATATTGTCTGAACAGAAAAAAATATTTCACATGTAGGCTACAAAAGATAACTTTAATCCTTATTAATAAAAAACTTTAATCCTTAGTAATTTGGAAAAGTGTCACACATTGCAAGTACACACATTGCAATTTAAGATTGGGAGTCGGGGGATTCTGTCTCACACGTATTCATAACTGTATTGCAAGTGTGCTACTGTGGTACATTTATTCGTCGCACAAACCGATTTTTCCGTATGCAATATATCGCACTGTACAGCCCTGGAAGGATCATGTGACACTGAAGACTGGAGTAATGATGCTGAAAATTAGAAATATACTTTTAGCATCACTATATGAAACTATCTTCTCAATGCTGCATTTCACCAATCAGAATCAAGTATATAAATCAGTAATTCACCACTGGAAAAATGTGCTATCAATTAGACCTGGCTGTCTATGCAGTGGAAAGGTGAAAAAAATGTAATAGGTGCTACCTGACTAGTGAAAACAAAAAAAGGTTGTCGTCTTCCTTCCATTTTGCTTCAACACCCATAATGCACTGGTCATGTTGCTGTCCAAGGCCCTGCCACCAGTCTGATATGAATACGCTCGACTAGAATCAAATACTGCCTTGCTTTAGTAGGAAATACTTACGAAATACTCCCTGAAGCAAAACGCAGTCACTTACAGGTAAGAAAGCTTATGGTACCATTTGTACCATACTACTGTTTAAAGAGTAGACATAGTACAATACAATTTCAGTGATAAACCTACCCTTACAATAACTGTTCTGTTAATTAACCCCTGTAAATCAGACTGTCTGTGGGCGGAGATACAAAAAATTATAATCTGTAGTTTTCACAAAAGCCCTGGAGCTGTCAAAATACTTTTGCTCATTTCTCGCCCCAGGTAACACAGAGAACGAGTTAACATTGTTAATTTACCACCGACATTGTAACAATACAAAGCGGTTACAATTTAAGGCACTCTTACCTTGAGTTGCACCAGGTGCACATCCACGTGTCTATTGATGCTGTCTTGCTGCACAGAGTGTGTGAGATCTCTGACTCTCTCTGTCGTGGTCCTTAGCCAGGTCTCTATCTCCGGCAGGTGGAGGACCACCTTCCAGTCGGCCCCTGTGTGGAGAGGAGGAGGTTTTTGGTACCTGCGGTAGGGATCTTGTTTCTGGGTCGGCCCATCCCCGCTGACGCTGGGCCCACACAGGTCCGGATCATCGTGTTTATCGAGGCCGGGCTCCAGGGTGGGAGTTACAGAGGTTATCATAGGGGAGGAAGCCTCACTGGCCATCGGTGATACTGCAACGTTCATGGTGAAACACAGCGTGATCCTGAGGACGGGGCCTTTTGGTTTAGCTGTTCAGAGAGAAGAGAGGATGAGATAAAACATACATGTAGTAAGAGTGCAAAACAGACATAAATATTAAAAGAGCTGCCAGATTTTGTTAAATATGGAAAGCCAGAGGTAATTTGGGATGCAAATCTAATGGTGGTCAATGTCATGGATGACAGCATGTAAATTCACTCTCGTGCACATGGCAAGGCATTTGAAAAGACAGGGATTTCTCATCTTGGGGAATTATTTTCCATTTTGAAGGGAAAAAAGCATTGCTACATGGATAAAACACTAATCACAGACAAAACACAGTGCAAAGATGATTCAGGGAACATTTTACACCCTACAAAATTCATACTTGAGCTGGCGGACCTACTGCATATTCTGACATCCTCTACCTCACTCCAGAGATCATTTTATTAGACAAATGATTAGTCATCAATAATATCATCTATTTTCCCAGAAGAGGAAAAGTGACTACATTTCAGCTGATATACACACTAAAAAGTTGCATTTGTCGTTTACTTTAGACTACACTAGCTTATAGATGACCTCAAAGCAAAACTAAGTCACAAAACTCTCAAATATTGATGTCATTGGGAATTAAAATCCATGTAAAAAAAATAAAAAACCTTCACAATCGGTTTAATCCCGGATCAACTATTTTAAATCACGTACATTGAGGATTATGTGCATATTGCCAGGTCAGCACTACTGTCTATTTTCATGATAACATGATAAAATACAATGGCAAACAATAATTAAACTAATATAAACAGTATTTTTGATATGTGACCATATAAAGGTGATCAATACAAAATATTTTAAGTGTTGTTAGCATTAACTGAAACTAGTACAAATTTTCGATAATTCAAATAAAGCTGAAATTAAATGTAATATAAATATTAAATGAAAAACTTATTTTATTTCAGTTATTTGCCAAGGTAACATTTCTCATTTTTGGTATTATGATTACTGGTACTAAAACTTAAAAGTAAATTAAAGCTAGAAATTGTAAAGACTAATTCAAATGATAAAAGCACATAACAAAATTACAAAAACTAAGATGAAAAATGAAAATAATAAAATTAAAAGCTAATTCTAAATATTAATGAATGTTATTTTATAATAAAAAATAGGCTACACTAATCCAATTAAAAGCATCTATTAACTATTTAACTTTGTTAAAAAACTTTGCCTAGGACAACTACAAACATACGTAGATATTTAGAATTGGACTGACCTGCTTTATTATTAAACTTTATGAAACTTTGATTAGGCATTATTATTATATTATCATCTCAGTTGTATTTAGAGTTTAGCAGATCTTTATTAAGACTGATCAAGACTGATTATCCTTTTAATTATTGGAATAACCCAACAAAGCCTTAATTCACGTTTTAACCATGACTTAAAGGGATAGTTCACTTTGAAATCAATTTTTGTTATGTTTTAGCTTACCTCAAGGGAGATGTAGGTGTCTTTGTTTCCACAGTAGTTTCAATTTTGATATTTTTAGGTCAAACTGTTCTTGTCTATCATATAATGGAGGTCTATGGTCACCACCTCAAAGATTAAGCACAGATTAAGCACAAATTAAACATGATTTAATGACTCGTAGATGTCAGAACACATTGATGGCCTAGACATGAAACGAGCGCTTAGTGTGAGAAAACCGCTCGTTTCGTGTCTTAGGCCATCAATGTGTACTTACATTTACGAGTCATTAAATCATGTTTAATTTGGACTTCTCTGTGCATGCTCTTTGAGACCTCCATTATATGACTAACAGACAAGAACGGTTTGACCTAAAAATATCAAAATTGATACTACTGTGGAAACAAAAACATAAAAATTTAATTTCAAAGTGAACTATCCCTTTAACAGTATATAACCAACAGAATATGTGGGTCCCACAATGCCACAATAGCTACTGAAACATGGCCACTATTACTATATGCCCATGAATAATGCACAATGAGGTCATACACAGCGTCATTTTATCAGAAGCTGAGGTCATTTCCATCCTACACAAAGAAATCTGTGATGGTAATGAAGATGATGCTGAACCGGAACAATCGACTGTCATTATGAGGCCGTCTCACCGGCATTAACCAGAATTGAATATCTAGGCCACTGCAACAGGGAAGTCAACGATTGGAAATCAATATCTTGAACGATCCAGTCTGTACGTCTGTTTAATATGCTGCTTCAGCACAGAGCGATTCCCTCCCACCAACAGCATCACAGCAGTCAGATGAATTATTCAGATAATATGACTTCCTGGCATTTACAGCTCATCTGCATGTACTATTTGTTAAAACACAGATGAAGCCGTTCAAACTAATTCATGAGATGACATTCAACTTGAAAGGGCAGATAGAATCATTTCAGATTTGTTTGCAAACACATAGGAGCAATGACAATGCATCAGGGGAACATACAAACAAGTGTTCACACAGGATTATAAAGGGCATTACAGTTGATTATAACATCACATCACATGCATGCATATATTAAAAAAAACATGACATACAAACTCTAAACCATATCTCATATCTCAAAAACTGATCCAATTACACTAAGATCTCAAAATATTGTCAAGATAAGACTAGAAACACATTTTGATTTGTGTATAAAGAGATGTTGATTGCATCAATGTTCACCACATTAAAAGGTAATCCATGAAAAATGTCCTACTGTAATGTACACCAAAATAAAGCAGTGCATTTTGGGAGTTTTTTTAAGGCTGACATGATGTCAGATGCAGTCATGAACTTTACATATTAGTTTATTTCCAATCTGTTAAGGATATAAGCAGAGAGAATGTGAACACAATGTAGATTTAGTTATTTTCCCTTCCAATACAAGAAGCTACATTTAAATTTACATTCACATTTATTCATTTAGCTGACGCTTTTATCCAAAGCTACTTACAATTGCTATATCTAGATATTTAGAATTGGACTGAACTGCTTTATTATTAAACTTTATGAAAGTTTGATTAGGCATTATTATTATTATATTATCATCTCAGTTGTATTTAGAATTTAGCAGATCTTTATTAAGACTGATCAAGACTGATTGTCCTTTTAATTATTGGAATAACCCAACAAAGCCTTAATTTATGTTTTAACCATGACTTAAAGGGATAATTCACTTTGAAATTCATTTTTGGTATGTTCTAGCTTACCTCAAGGGCATCCACGAGATGTAGGCATCTTTGTTTCTGCAGTAGTTTCAATTTTATTAGGTCAAACCGATATTTTTAGGTCAAACCGATAATATCAAACCGATATTTTTAGGTCAAACCGTTCTTGTCTGTCAGTCATTAAATGGAGGTATATGGGGTCCTCCTCAAAGAGCATGCACAGAGAAGTCCAAATTAAAAATGATTTAATGACTCGTAAATGTAAGTACACTTTGATGGCCTAAGACTCGAAACGAGTGGTTTCATGTTTAATTTGTGGTTTCACAAATTAAACCACAGTGGTTAAACACCACCTACTTGGACTTCTGATGTAGATGTAGATGTGGACTTCTCTGTGCATGCTCTTTGAGGTGGTGACCATAGACCTCCATTATATGACTGACAGACAAGAACGGTTTGACCTAAAAATATCAAAATTTAAAATACTGTGGAAACAAAGACACCTACATCTTGGATGCCCTTGAGGTAAGCTAAAACATATCAAAAATTTATTTCAAAGTGAACTATCCCTTTAAGTGTCTTGCTCAGGGACACATTGGTGTCTCACGGTGGATTCAAACCCGGGTCTCTCACACCAACGGCATGTGTATTATCCACTGTGCCATCACGACCTCAAAGCTCACTACAATATCAAAATTTAAAGAAATAAAGAAACATCAAGAGCAAAATAAAGCAATGCAAAAGCACACAGATAAAGCCATCAATTGATGTTATTTGAAATAAAGATATTTTTGATCCGCACGTGTCACTCTCCCTGCTTCATTTTGATACTGCAAAAGCATCATTGCAAAAACAATAAACAACAGATGGAATAATACATGGCAAAATTAACTTCTGTGCAACTGTCCAAGAGCCAAAAGCGTTTCTTAATTATACAGGCACTAAATAAACCAGCCATTAGTTCTGCTGACTTCACAAAATCCCCTGAAACGAGCAAGCAGCCACTGTTAGAACTCAAAATGGGTCAATCTCCTGCTTCTTAGTAAATAGAGTTTCACACCACAGTTCGACAAAAAAGTATGCAGCTGCATCTGAGAAAAAATGGTCACGCTTTACATTAAACTGAAGATTTTAGAGCTGAGTATCACCAAATGAACTATATACACTTTGTAATTATGATAAATTGTTTGTAATACTGGAAAACTGTTCGAAAACAGGCAAAATTTTTGCAAATTATGAAGGAATCGGTATCATTTTAATAATTCGAACATAAAAATGGACAAAATATCTTACATTAAAAATGTTAAAAAATGTAATTATGATAAGCCATATCGGTAGATATGGATATAAAACATTAATTAAATAAACAGTTTTGCGTTTGTCTGTTAATTGTCCATTTCAAAAAGGGATTTATTTCCATTTTTATGTCTGAATTTAAATTGATCACTGAATTATTAAATTGATAACTGATTCCTTCATTATATTTTATATGTAAGTGTCACTCCTAGACCTCCATAGATTCATTTTCAAAGTCATTTTTTTCTTATATCAATAGCTGAGCTCTCTGGTAAACATTAAATACATTGTTTACCATTTAAAATAGCGTATGTTTAACACAAAATACTTACTCCCTATATAATTATGATATTATTATTAGTTTAAAATACATTCACACGAAATGTTCCAACAGTAACTCACCAAACATCAGAATGTGACTGCATAATTTATCCTCAGCAGTCTTTATGCAGAGCACAAGTTCTGTATTTAGCATCAGAATGAGTTTCAGGGTCAGAACTCTCGCTGAGAACATGATGATAAGGCATCTCTCTGTATATTTCATGCTGGTTTGGATAAATGAGTGAAC